TAAATTCCTCTCTTTCTGCTTTAATATTCTCTTTTGCCTAACATGGTATCTTTAATTCAACTAAATCAAGATAAAGTTATCAGTTGCTCAGTATTAGTTGTGGAAAGTGTATGACAATCTTCTTTACAGTTTAAACTTAGTCCTCTCTTCTTTTTTTTTTTTAATCTGTCATTAAATGGCAGAAAATAAACCTTCCCTCAACATTTCAAAGAATCATTAAATAGATCCATGGGCCAAAAACAGCTATGATAATTGAGTTAATTTTCTCTGTGATTTGAAGGAAGTATGGTAATATTAACCGTCTTCCTACAAGTAAACATTTGAGAACTCAAAATGACTGAGCAGCTCTCAGTTGAAATTTATAAAATCTTTCACTTAAAACAATTTTTCAGGAAAATAGATTTATTTACATTAAGAGAATTTCTTTAGTAGCAAAGAAAAGAGTACTGGGCTGCTATGTGACATCTGTCCTCCTTTATGGCAGCAAATGTTGGGCAATCTCCTCAAAGATGAAGAAGAGACTCAAAGCAATGGAGGTATGGTTCTACAGAAGGATATCATGGACTGAATGTGTGAGCAACAATGAGGTTTTGGAGAGTATGCAAACAAGGAGGAAGCTTATACTTAACATCAGGAAGAGGCAGCTGAAATTTCTGGGACAAGTAATGAGAAAGAAGGGCTTGGAGAATCTGATACTCACAGGTCAAATAGAGGGAAAGAGAGACAAGGGAAAGCAATGCATGATATACCGAGCAAGCTTAAGCAAGTGGTTGGCAGAAAATGGCCTGGAGGAAGTAGCAAAGGGACAAAACTTATTGAGAGCTACAAGAGACAGGAGGAAGTGGAGAGCCATGATTGCCAATGTCCTGAAGGGACACAGCAAATAAAAACAAAGAAAGAAGTATAAATAGAGAGTTTGTTTTATACACAGATATTGTATACTAGAATCCTTCCTGAGTGATGTCTATTCTGAGGTCATAAAAAGTTTCAGGCCTGCATGACATCAGACTTTCTCTCCCATGGGCCAAGCTGAGAGCAATCATTTCCTGACTCATATACTAGCATAGCTTCTGCATGATTGCAAGAATTGTAAACAATATCTGTATCTATGTAAATGAGATCTTTTTATTCAATTATATATAGGAATTTTGACCAATCAGGATTTCTTTAATTTTTTTCTGCTGACTATTGGTGTTTTTTGGGCTAATCAGAGGTGGGGATTCTGTTTTACCCTTAACATTTGTTCAAAGTGTTTCTGAATGGTGGTTTATATTATTAGATTGAAACAATATTTCCTTGTACCATGATTTACAGAATGTTTGAGAAACCTTAGAATTGCAATTTATCAATCCTAGTCCATTGTTTTACAAGTCTTAGGGAAAATGGCTTTCACATGAAATTATGAACTGGAATTCTGAGCAGTGCTTAAACAATTATCTTTCTCTTGTTGCTTGACACAGAAAGTTATTTTTGGAGAAGGTAGTCATTGCCAATGCAAAATGTGTTCATTGCAAGAAGCCAAGCATGACAGTTTTTATCACCTTAAATCAAATGTAATCTACCAGAGAAAATGTCCTTTTCAATATAAGGTAGAATTCAAAACTGAATCTAAAACTGTGTCTGAATTATTAAGAATTACTAGAACCTCCACACAGTGCAATGTAGTGTTGAGTAATTGGCTTGTTTGAATGACGTTGTGAATAGCTCTGTACAAGCATTGTTGGCTGTAGATGATATATATTTTTTTGTAGTAGGTCCATTATTATTTGTAGTAGGTCCATTGTTGATTGTAGATAGACTGTCATTGTTTTTAGATGATCCATTGTTGGTTGTAGATGGTAACTTCTTGTTTGTAGATGGACCATTAATATTTGTAGTTAGTCCACTGTTGATTGTAGATGATATACTTTAGTTTGGTGATGGACCATCATTGTTGGTTGTAGGTGATATACTTTTATATATATATATATATATATATATATATATATATGGACCATCACTGTTTGTAAATGGTATACTTTTGTTTATAGTTGGTCCATCATGGTTGTAGATATACCTTTGTTTGCTGATGCTCTGTTGTTGGTGGTAGATAGTCCATTATTGTTTTTAAAGAGACCATCATTGTTTGTAGTTGATATACTGTTGTCTGTAGTTAGTCCATTGTTATTTGTAGATGCTCTACTGTTGCTTCTAGACGATGACTCCTTGTTTATTGTTCTTTTACTGTTTTTGTAGATGGTTTGTTTAAAGTTAATGATCTATTGATGGTCCTAAAACTTTTCTGTTATTGTTTTCATATGGTGTATTTGTTTGTTTCTAAGTAATTTTGAGAATGATTAGCACGGGTTTGACAGAAATATAATTGTGTGACAGTTACCAAGGGTATTATTATCTCATCTTTTTTTATAAAGTAGGATTACCATTTCCAAGACTGAAGTTTTGAACTACTTTTCTTTTCTGTAGTTACAGGGTAAATAATTGTGAATTCCTCTCCTGCAACTTTCAAAGCATCTTTTACCAAGCCATTTTTACCTGCTGCCTTTTCACATTTAATATTTTCAAGGACAAACCTTATTCCATTAGAGACATTCAAGATACCTCAAGAAAATCACTAATTTCTGCTGGAGTGATTGTTGGTTGCATTTTTATTTTGCAGGATAGAAGTATACATTATACTCCTTGCTTATCCTTAATATCTTCTAACTTCTCCATTTCTGTCTTTCAATACAAACAATTACTTTATATCTATGTGGGCAGCTAATTGATCATGTCTCAAAGATTTTATTTTCCAATATGTTCTACTCTTTTGAAGTTCCTCTTATTTTTTCTTGTCTTTTATTTTTTTGATAATATTTCCTTCTGCATTTCTATTTTTGTTTGTCTTAGTGTTGTTATTCTATTTCTTCTAATTTCCATCAGTTCTTGTACTGAGTTATTTCCCTTTGTTATTCCTGTCTTTATTTCTTTTCCTTGATTATCTCTGCTAATTCTCTAATTATAGTTGCTGATTTGCCATTCACAGTTTCTGTATCAGTTTCATTATTCCACAAAGCCTGGAATTTATTTTTGATTTCTGTCCCAAATTCAGTGAAATTTTCTCAGATTTTATTCAATTTTTTCTCACCTGTGGAACTCACTTTCGATTTCTTGCTTGCCTCTTATCTAAAATCTTCAAAAAATTAAATGCCACATCAATCGCCATCTTCTGTCTTCTCGAATCCTGTCCCTTTATTGTCTTTTCCTCAGATCTCCTCATGAAAGTCTTCTCATTCTATTTCACGCCTTTTAATGCTGAAGTCAAAATATTTTGTACGTAATTTTATTAATATTATTTTTTAGATAACAATGGTTTTACTGATGCAAGTCTTACTAATTAACCCATAGCTAGGAGTAGAAGAGGTGGATTCATACATTTCCCAAGGATATTTGCATGTAAGTAAATATAACAAACCCAACTGGAATTAGAACTCTGCACTCTGATTAACAATTGCAGGCCATTATGCATTAAAACACCCACACATCCAAGTTTACAGCACCTGATATTCCCAAGTGGCCACCCATCTAGGTAATAGCCAGGCTTGATGTTGCTTAACTTGTCCAATTTTGAAAACCAATTAATCAGCAGATTTGTTCTGAAAAATACTTTGACAAAATCTCTACTTCAGTTTTTCACACCCTAGTAAAGCCAACTATAAAACTTGTGTAAAAAAAAAAAAAATCAGGTGCAGGTTTCACACTAAATAAACTGCGCAAATAATTCAATAGAAACATTGCAATAAAGTCAGTTCATATTTGTGTGTATATATTTTTTTTAAATCTATAGTTTTGTTTCATAACATTTAACGGTATATGACTTAAACATTTTTGTAAATGTGCCATGATATTTTCATTTGCTCCAAGATGTGTCATTGCTTAAAAAGGTTGAGAAACACAGTTATATATCTTCCTAATATGCACTTCTTAATCCATCCCTTTATATCCTGGGTATGATGATAAACTACATCTGGCAGTAAGAGCAGGAGATTGGAGGTTTTGAGGAGCATTGAACCACCCCTTAATTGCTGTTGTTTCCAGGTTCACCTTAAGCAACAATAAAATTTTATAGCAAAATGACAATCAATGCAACACTAAAAAATACAAAATTGCATTTTTACAGTAAAATTACCAACAATGCCTTTTATGACCTACAAATTATATATCTAAAAAACATACCTTTACCCTGAAAATATAAAATTATGTACAAAATATTTGTAGTTGAAAACATAAAATTTTGTAGAAAATATTTTGATTTCAGCATTAAATAACCCATAGAGGTGTTGATATGCCACTAAATAAAAACAACCAACCAATCATAACCCCTCATCCAGAAAGGACAGGATTTCTTTCTTTTCCACTTTCCAATGATGCTGTTTGGACATGTTTTGGCAGCCCTAATAATGAAGTAAGTTAATTAGTCATTCCAACTCAGCTGACTTGAGTGCAACCATTTTAACCATTGTTATCCTAAAAAGGAAAAAACAGACATAACTAATCAATCAACTCTCCCTTTAAACTCTTGCAACAACCTCATTCAGTAACACTTTACCTTGAGCAGCTCTTGGGCCTTGTATTAGGTGAACAACAGTATTAAAAAACGAACTACTAAACCCAGTGATTGAACTCAACTCCCAGGGAACATTTTAACCAATGCTTTAATGTACTAGATGATGATAAGAGATATATGTGATTCCAAGATTGATTGTTTTTTATGGCTTATCAACATTTTGAGGTTATTTAAAGCCAGAAAATATTTTAAATTTTCAGAAGTTTTAGGAGATAATGATTTTTACTGATACAAATTCTACTAATTAATCCATAGATGGGGGAAGAAGAAATGAATCTATACATTTACCAATGGTATTTGTGGTAAGTGAATATAATGAAACAGATTGGAATTAGAAGTTAGCTCCCCTGATTTGCAATTCCAAGCCATTTTCCATTACGCCACCTGCACATCCAAGCTTACAGCACCTGACATTCCTAAGTGGTTATCCATCTCAGTACCGACCAGGCTCAAAGTTGCTTAACTTTGGTGATCATACAAGAACTGGTGTTTCAATGCAATATGACCGCAAGCAGAGATTCCAAGAAATAGACAACTAAAGAAGTTTGGAGGGTACAACAACCAAAAATGTGCCGAGTGTAACAACTGAGGTGAACACATTGGTTGAAATATCACAAGATATTTAATCAGTAATGCTGTTTCCATCCTTACACTTATTCATGCACCTGTATGTATGTTGTGAATAGATGAATGTAGAATTGCAATAAAATGAGAAGTCTTTTTAAATAAACTACATCAAAAATGATTTTCTACAGAAATTCTTAGCTCAAATACTTTTCCCTAGTGAATTTATATTTACTAAGCTTACCTTAATATGGCATAAGATCAAACAAGAGCGGAAAATGAGATTATAAAGATTGTATTCTACCTCGTTTACAAGAGAGAGGATAGGCCAATATTGAACATCAGCATTCAGCATCCTGGCCTTTACTCACACTTGAACACTAATCTCTGGTACTTGAAAGAAATATGCAACTATTTCAGCCAAAAGACAGGCTTAGTGCAAATTTATTTATGAACAAGTCAAAATGACACTTTTGACTAGTGATCAAGGTAGGTGAAGTTTTATTTTTGCTTGTTAATGGATATTAATAATGGGGAAAAAAAAAACACCTTATACTGTTATTTCTTTTTTATATATATACTAATGTTCACCCAATACAAGGCCCGATAGCCACTTAAAGTAGATAATTACAGTGTGCCATTTCAAGAGCTATGGGCTATGCAGGAAAAATAACAATTCATCCTTGACTTGAAGAAGTCAAGATTGTATTGATTGAAAAAACATCCTGGGAGGAATCTGTTCACCAAAGCGACAATTCTTGGGAAGATAAATGGAACTCACTTCTTACTATTGGAATACAAAGGAAATGGGTATGATTCATCCTTGTGTAGGCAGCATGGAGGATCCCAGTTGTCAAGGTCAGGGGTAGTTGGACAAATAATGTAGCTTGACAGAACCAATGCCATGGAAACACCAATAGAACAATGAGAGGCTCATGACATTTCATCTGTGGAGAAAGGGGTTGTAGGGTGGAAAATAATTCATCACCCACAAGGCCACACAGACACATTTGAACTCTATCAAGATAGGCAAGTGAAGACTGTGCACCTCCAGCCAATATATGGGAATAATGTTATACAAACATTGCACCAATATAAAGACTATAAAGATTAAAGTACAGACCTAACAGCCTCCCTTCCAATGCTCTAACTGATGGGAATTAATAGGTAAAAGTTAACATTTCCCAATCCACTCAAAGAATCAGTTCACACAGCAAAAATTGAGAGTTTGAGTGTCTGATTTATCCTTGTGGGTAAGATATCTTCATGAAAAAGAATATCACAAAACAATTACTGAAGATTTCGAATTATCACGGATAGCAGAAGTGGAGGAGGCAGTTGCAGCAGTTCCGATTCTAATGTCTTCCCCATTAACCAGTTTTCTTCACAATGCGATTGTAAGTTCCGCAGAAAGCAACGAGCCATTACCTGAGAATGTCATCTGTGCAAAAGGGGGTGAATTTCTTGATCAAGAGCGCCATTCGAATAACCTTGTGCAGTGCGTGTAAAATTGAAGTTCACTCACGTGGAGAGTAATTCTTGCATTGAAAATATCCACTCTTCACCGTTTCCTCTCTAGTCGCCATTTCAGCTTCTGCCATCAGCCACTCTCCACTTACGACACCAACTTGAATTTTCCTGACACTCGCCTGAAAAGGCTTTGTTGCGATTCTTTCTCCACACGTTTAGATAATTCCTTCAGATTGGAATCCTCTGCAAGGTTGGATTTTTTTTTTTTTACTGTTGTTGTCAGTTGACACAAACTGGCAATTTTTATATTCAAATGAGATGCCTCATTCAAAGGTTCTTTGCAAAGAAAAATGGGAAGAAAAAGAATTAAGGATAGAAGACAAGAAAGGAGAAAAATAAAGAAATACATAATTAAAGGAGAAGAAGATTAGTAAAAAGAAGGAAAAAAAAAGAGGTGAAGGAATTGGAGATAAGAAGAATGGATGAAGAATTCTAAAGATAACAGTAAGCAAAGGAATTTAGGAAAGAAGAAAAAGAATGAGAAATGAAAGAAGGAAATAAAGAAAGAAGAGAAAAGCACAAATGAAGAAAGATAAATAAGTTCAAAATAAGAAAAAGAATTTAGGAAAAAAAAAGGGAAAGTGAAAGAAGAAAATAAAGAAAAAAAAAGAAAAGTACAAGTGAAAAAGAAAAATGAAGAAAGATTGATAATATGATTGAAGTAAGTGAAGGAGTTCAGAAAAAAAGGAGAAGAAGGGAATGAAGAAAATGGAAAGTCACAACTGTAGAAGAAAAACGAAAGAAGAAAAACGAAAGATGAATAATAAGAAAACTTTAAAAAAAAAAAGAGAAAGGGAATAATAGATTAGAATGAAAAAGGAGAGCAAGAAAATAATTTAGGAAGGAAGAAAAGGTGTTAAGATGGCAGAATGAAAGGAAAGTGAAGAAGAATGAGAAAGGAAATGAAAGAAGAAGAAAATAAAGACGTAAAAAGGGAAAGAATGTAATGAAAAAGGAGGAAAAGAAGGAATATTACTAAGAGAAAATGAAGAAATGGAAGGATGGAAGAAAATAAAAAAGAAAGAGAAAGAAAAAGGGAAATTAAGAAAAGGAGGAATATATATATAATTAGAAAACTGAAAAAAAATGATAAAGAATTTAAGCAAATGAGAATGAAAGAAAAAGGAGGTAAAGTGATAGAAAAGTAGAGGAAGAAAAAAAAAGAAAATTAATAATCCTAAGAAAATGGGAAAGAAGAGGAGACTCAAGTGTAAAAGAGGCAGAATGAAAAGGATAAAAGCAAGAAAGAAAAGAATGTAAATATATAAAAGGGATAGACAAGAAAGGGAAAAGGTTAGCAAGTCATGAAGAAATGAAAGAAAGAGATATTAATAAAAGATACAGTTAGAAAGAACAGAAATAAAGAAAAGAGAAAAAAAGCTAAAACTAAAGGAAAAGCCAAAAATAAAATGTAAGAAGGAAAATAACAGAAATTTTTATTACTAAAAAAAAAAAAATGCCCACAAGGTATCACTATCATCAAATTTTAAAAAATTCAAATCGTTTTTCTTCATTTTTATTGGCTGTATTAAAATCCAATGAGTCAAAGGGATGATGCTGCTACTTTTATTCAAATTTTTTTTATTTTCTTTTTTAATCATTTCATCCCAAGCAAGGAGATAATGCCACTAAGATACAAGGGGGGTTAATGAACATGAAAGAAAAGCAGAAGACTTTAGTGAGGAGAAAGAGCAATAAAAGAACAAGAAGACAATTGATGTTGCATATAAATTTTTGAAGTTTTGTAGGTGGCAGAGAAGCAAGAAACAGAATAGAGTTCCACAGGTGAGAAGTGCGAGAAAAGAATATAGTTATAGTTACATCTAGCTATTTCAACAATAAAATGGTGAGCCCTATAAAAATAAAAATTCATAAATTACTGTTAAATTGGTTGTTTTGTTTTGTTTTACAGCATATCAACCTCAATGGCTTATTTAATGCCAACAAGTTTTTTATTGCTGGTAATTTTTTTTTTTCAAATGTCGATTGCTGGTAATAATTTTTTACAGAATATTTCTGGTATTAAAACTTATTTCAACACTGTCATACTGTTTTGACCTCAGTTTGGGGCGGGGGTTAACTATTTACCTATAGCTTGGACCCTAACAGGTGCTACCACTCTGGGTCAGGGTGGACCTGGACACACCAACAATTAAGAGGTGGCTCCACACTCCTCAAAGCTTCCTGAACAGAGGCCTTGTTACTGGATGTAGTTTATTGTCAGCACTGTTAACTTGGAGTACACCAGCTGAGAAATGCTGCAGTAGGTACTTGCTTGTTAGCTAGTTATGCAAGCCAGGTCAATAAAGATTTCACTATGATTTGACTTTTGTTGCTAAGCAAGGAAGGAATTTCAGTTATTTAAAGGTTAATTATAGTCAAGAGTATCAAGTTTAACTATTGGTAGCCAGTTATTCCCACCCACGAATTAGAATAATCATTCAGCATATTTAATAAAGTGGTAGCAAAAAGGTTATGAAATCTGGTGGTAAGTGGTTAGTTTATAAGAAAGAATTACAATATTAAAAAGATTAAGATTTTCCTCATGTTCAGAATTTTGTTTTTAAATTATTTCACCAACCAAAGTGACAATGCCATTATGACATTAGGGTTTACTGAGAGTGAAGAAAAAAAAAAAAGTTAGGACATTAAGATTCAGGAAGACATGACACTTAATGTTTCATTTAAATTTTTGCCAATCTAGTAAGACACTTCTTGTCAACATTATTGTTATTAACATGTTACCCATCAAAAATGATAGATTATTTACATATGGATTAGGGCTTAATGTTATGGCTAGGGTATATGTGCAGTCTACCTATAATCAAAGTTTGAGCAATGTGTATGCTTCCTGGTCTCTGGGCTGTGATCAAAGTGTAGTATCTGTTCCCCTCTTCAAATTATAAGAGAATCCTAGTTTCAGAATTCCAACCCTATAGCAGCACCTTCCTCATTGATCCCAAAAGGGAAAGTTGGGAGACACCAATGATATGACAGTGGACATGGATTTGGGGCTATTTTTGTCCTTGTATGAGCACCCTACACTAAAATTGAATGTGTCACATGCCGTCACTGTAGGTAAATGTGTAAATACTGAGCACACATTCCTAGGTTTTTAGGTGTAGGATCTGTTCTTTAACTCTCTGCCATGTTTCTGGCATCTAGCAGCTCATGGTTCAGTAACAGGGGAAGCCAAATTCTGGAGATTCTAATCCCACAACATTTCCCTCATGGCCCTAAAGAGGAAGGGTTGGTGGATAGCAACACCAATGTGACTGTGACAGTGGCTGTGGGGAGTGAACAATATATGGGCAAGAGTGTCCCACATTATGCTAACCATGTTTCACATCCTGCCACCATGATGGGGATAGGTAAATACTAAGCATGCATCATGGCCTGTGGACTAGGATCAAAGTGT